AGCCGCCTGTGCTGGCAAGGTAAAAAAAATGTTTTGGGGGAAAAACCCACTTAAGATTTGTGCCTAAAATGCTTCCATCACCAGGAGGAGTTACCTGCTGTCAGTCTCAGCATTAGTTCTCAGCTGGTGACATTATTTATGATGGAGCAGTTAGTGTTCACGTCTTAATTAGCAACACTGGTGCAGGGAGTGACTGCAACTGTGCTAGGTTAAAAAAGAAGAGCAAGAAAAGCCAGTTTTTGCCTTATCTAAAAATAAAGCCCAAACTTTGATCGCGATCGTCGTCATCGCCCGACGCAGGAGCTCAGCTCCGGCAGGTCGGGGTTTGCTGGAGGGCTTGGCAGCGGCAGCACGTGCTGGGGCGGGAGGACGGGGCTCGTCTTCACCTGCACGCAGCCCAGAGCAGCAACTGGTCGATGAATTTATAATCCACTTTGTTGTTGTTGTTGTTGTTGTTCCTATTTTTTTAATCTTTCTCCAATTATATGGGTGTAACGCAAGATCCCGGTTTCTTCACTGGGCGCTGTTGTGTCAGGGACAGGCGGGAGACCGAGCCCGACGGCGCAATGCTCGGCACGCAGGGACGCAGGCAGGAGCGGCATGTGTAAACAGTAACAAGAAAGCTTTGATAATAACAACAAAAAAAAAAAAAAAAAAAAAAAAAGGCCCTTTAACAGGCCAAAGAGAGGGAGCACACCCATATTGGAGTGAAAAATTGCCCCCTTCCTTGCAAAAATATAATAATAATCCCTAACCAGAAGGAAGAAACTACGTACATTCTTTCTCTCGATGGGATACCCAGAAGGTCTCTAGGATTTCTCCACCGAAAGTGCATCTCAGTGCTGGCGCGGCGCCCATCAGAGCGGTGTGTATTGGTTGTCGATGGCGCGGATGTGGCCCCGACCCGGCGCCTCCGCCTCGTAGTCCGAATCGCGGTGCCGGGGACCAGGGGCCAAGGCTGGCCCGCTCGGGCGCAGGGCTCGGCCGGCGGCGGCACCAGGTGGAAGATCTGCTCCGGCGGGGGACCTGGGGGGGTCTCGTCGGGGCCACGGGGGCAGGAGGAGCCAGTGGGGGCAAGGCTGAATTCGGGGTTCCAGCTGGGAACGGGCAGGGGGAGAGGGACCGTGCTGCCGGAACCAGGAGCTGTGGGAGGAGGGGAGAGACGGACGGTCAGTGGGATGCTCCTGCCCCATCGCCCCCGCTGTGGGTACCAGGGTTGGGGCACGGGGCACATCCCACACCTGCACCGGCCGCAGCGGGGAGCGGCCAGCGGTTTGGGACAGCTTCTCCTTTCTCAAAAGAGGAAGCCAGGAGCTCAGGAGTCACCTTTTGTGCCGCTGGATGGACGCTTCCGCTTCTCCCCGCTGGCGTGCGGCCAAAGGGTCCAGCTCTGCCTAGCCCCAGGGCATCTACCCCGGGGACCCTCCCGCTGGGACAGAACCCCCCCATCCCTGCACCCCATGGGAACATCCACCGTCCCTCCGTGCCCACGTACCTTGCGGCTGGGGCAGGACGACGACGTAGCTGGACAGACGGACGTCGCAGGCTGTCCCGCACTCCAGTGGAATGGGGTAACGATGGAAGTGGTGCAGCATCTCCACGATGGAGGAGAAGCGGAGGTGTTGGACGCGGCACTGGCCCCGCTCTGTCAGCGCCAGCCGCAGGTGCTGCGGGGAGGAGCATGGACCTGTTACCCTTCCACCGGCTCCCTTGCTGGAGGAGATGATGGGGGGACACAGGGATATTTGGGGGGGGACGACAAATGGCCTTAGCATGATGTGCTGCATCCCCAGCCCGCGGTGCCCTGCTTGCTGCAGGGGGTTTTGCCCCCCCGGGAGCGGGGATGAGACCGCCAGCCTGCTGCAAGCATCGGGGCAGGGACCAGGCAAGGAGAGCATCTCCCTGGGGTGGGATGCAATGGGACAGGGACTGTGCTGTGGCAGGGGGGCTGCCCCAGGGGGTCC